GGTCTGTCAAGCTCTTCTCCTGGGCCGCTGACTGCGGTGATGCCTCTATATCGTAGTCGTCGGAGTCATCTTCGGTAAGCTCGTGGGTTTCTTGTCGGATCTCGTCCAGCTGCCGAACAAATCAATGGGTGATCAATGAAAACCCTCCACGGAGCACTTACCTCGTCGTTGATCGAAGTCCAAAATGCACTGCTGACATATCGCGTGACGCCCTTGTCGTTGAGAACAAGTCGCCCAAATTGCCTGTGGACATCGGAAGACTTTCTCAGCGGCCCAAAGCCAGAGGAGGAGCCTATCGCTCTCGTTGGTGGCCCTGTGACCGGAGATCCATGGCCGTGACTGCTACCACTCGCGCTCGCAGCGCCATCATGCTGTCTCCCAGCGACCTCTTCTATCCCTTTCCTTGGAGCCGACTCGGGGGAATTGCCCACGCTGGCGCTGGACGTGTTGCGCGGTGTCTCGATTTCTATTTGGCCGCTCAGTTCCTCGACGATCCCTTCCAGCTTGCGCAGGCGCTTCATTAATTCCAGCTCTCGCTCGCTCGACGGTTGTTTTGATGGCGCGTTGGGGTCTTTGGGTCTCGGTCGGCGCGGCGCTCTCCCCGGCGCAGGGAAGATGCAAGGGATCTGGGCCCTCCGGCAGTTGGAACATGGCATGAGCTTATCGCATCGCACCTAGCACACACACAGTCAGCGATGCGCTCCGCATGATTTCGTGACACTCTAGCAGAAACACACACCTTCCTCCTGCGGCAAGTGACACAGCTGCGGGGATTCACCGCGCTGGAGACAGCGGCGTTGGGAGAGTAAACAGAGGCGCCGGGTGGCGGGTGTCGCGCCATCGCCTGGATCTGCTGCGGATCAAAGCCATCCTGGCTGGCCGACCCGGAAGGCGCGTCTGCATTGGACGCTTCGGACGGCGGCGCCCGTGGGCTCCAGGCGGGGTCGCCCCCGGGCATGATGGCGGAGATGGGATTCCAGTGACGAGCAGGCGGCGCCTCGTGGTACAGACGAGCGTTAGCGGGGTCGGTCAGCGAGCGAATCGGCAGCGGGCGGGGGTCGTCGCGGGTTTGTGCAATGTAAACAGCAACGGCCGGCTGTTCACTCGTCGGTGTCACTCGTAAGGCGAGCGGAGGGGCATTGCTGGGCAACACAGATTGAGGCGGGACTGGAGTGTGTTCGTTCGAAATCCGGGCAAAGATCCCAGGCGGGACCTGACGGTTGGAGTAAGAATGAGTGGGGCCCGTTAGTGACGCTCGATGGTCAATGCGCCATGGCGGAAATCCCTGCGCCTGCCGAGCCTTCACAAAGTCTTGGCTTCTCTGCTGGGCGCTCCCGCAACTTCCCGGACGCTCGGCCATTTCGGGATTCTCCGTCGTCGACATTACGCTTCTTTCGAGGGGATCTGGATGGGTGTATCCGTTCGCATGGTGCGGTCGACACTTTTGGAACTTGGATTGATTGATTTTTGCATGTTTTAGTGGGTTGCTGGATCGAACTTCCAAGCCCAGCCCCGCTGAGCCCCTCGAAGACGCCCAAGTTGGATGTGGATCTCCTCCACCCACCGCCCTCCACCTCCAGACGGGTCATCTTCAGCCTTGTCGTCCCTCCTGTCCGACACAACTGACCCCTGTACTACCAACAACTCTTGGCGTCCTTCACGAGACTCTGGCGGAGCACGACTGTCTGCAGAGCAAAGATCAATGTACATGCTTTGTTTACATTTGCACTCCTCGTAGATCCCTCCGCTGGTGACCTTGCATACCTACAGCATCGGTTACACAGGCTTGCACGGCCCTAGAAAAGCGCCTTCCACGGCCCCCGGCACCGGAGAGGATATGGAGTTGGTACTATCAAAGCCCAACGGGCACTGGTCCGACGATCCCGTACCCGCCTGTGGCTGCACCTTGAGCAACAGGTTGCAAGTTCTTCCATCACTGGCATATCCGGCGCCGACGCAGTTGAGCGTGTCATAGCATAGGGCGCAGCACTCTTGCACCGAGGAGACGATGACCTCGGATTGAAACTGGTTTCCCGTACCCGCGGGAAAGATTCCCGACAGCGGCGGGTCGACACACTGCGGCGGCAACGTGAACGTGGCGACGGCGGTCTAGAATGAGGGTTAGTAAGGTTCCAGTCGCGTTTGTGCATTTCATTGAACTTTGAGTATTGGGAAGCCCGTGAGAGAAAAGAAAAAGGAAGAAAAAAAAAGAAGAAAAAAAGGGGGGGAAAGCGTGCTCACCGTTGTGGTGGTTGTGGACGACACAAGGGTCTCGATCGAGGTGGCAGTTGAGACCTCTGTTGACGAGAAGATGAGGGTTTCGATGGTTGTGCTCGTTGCTAGCACCGTGGTCGTGGGCGCGGTTGCGGCCGGGATCGTTACAGTCGATGTCGTCGGCGTCACGCTGAGACAGCTGCAGGCGCGGGAGAGGCGTGAAGCTGGATGGTGTAGTAAATTCTTGCTGACAATGGAGGGGCAGGCCGCCGTGGCGGTGCGCTTCTTCTTCTCCGTCAGTGGAGGGTTCACAAAAGTCGTGCTGATTGTCAGCAAGGTGGAGGTTTCGGTGGTCAGCGTGGTTGTGAGCTCGGTGGTGGTAGTCTCGATCGTTGTTGTCGTGGACGTGGTGGACGTCTCGATGATGGTGGAGGAGTCGACGGGAGTCACCGTGGTGAGCGTGACAGTGACCGGTTCGACGGCGAGGAAGTCGCGGCAAAACTCCACGGCTTGTTCCGCCAATTCAACGGCACAGACTGGGGATACGTTCCGAGAACAGGTGAAGTACCTGAGCACGCCATCGACGGAGCACACGCTGGGGAAGTTCAAGTTGGGGCGGAGAGCAGCCGCCAACGGCAGCAGGCCGACAACGACGCCGCCGAAGATCCGAGCCGGTCGCATGTCGTTCAGCCGATACAAAAAACGACAGATCGTCTTCACTCGGAATCCCCCCTCATTTGGTGGCGTCGGGCGTGGCTGAAATGAGATTGGGCGTCTTGGTTTTTGAGCATCTGTAGCTGCGGCTGAGAAACTGAGACGCATGTCTCTCAGTTGTTGTGATCGCTGTCAAGCAACATCTCTCGTTGCGTGAGTCGCCCTTGCGACCTAGGCTGTGATGCTGCCGTCCTCAGGAGTTTTGCTGGATTGTTATCCATTCCATTAGAAGGCATGTGGTTGACGCCCCTGAGGTTGTACGCATACTAGACCACTCTAGTCATTGGCGAAATGGTGAGAGTCGACCAAGTACATCCTCCTGAGGATCTTATTGTGTTGCACGATAATTATCTTGTCAGATGTCGAGTCAGATAGAACAATGCATTCTCCGAAGCACTTGTGTGAATCAAATACCCAGTCCCAGGGGCACCCGACCAGCGTTGACCAGTATGACACTCGCAAACTGCACTAACATCTGCCCTCTTTGCTTCATTCACAGTGATTGGTAAACATCGATCACAATAGGCCCCCGTCAACAAGAGCCCGCATTGTCAAATATTCGATGTTGGGAAATCCTTCAAAAAGTTGTTGATGGGCAGAAATACCTCCGGTTGAACTTCGCAGACTGTCGCTCGTACAATGCTCTGAGCTCGTCCTAACTTCTCCATAACCGCCCCTCAGATTTCTCGGATTCCATCGTCTAAAAGATGTTTCTTCCGATTGCTGGTATCCCACCCAAGGCTGTTGATTTTCAGTATCACGTTGATACATCACTGACTACATCAACTCTTTAATGTTGGGGTACTCTCTCAGCAAGTTGACGATGGGCAAGAAGAGTGTTTGCTGGCCTCCGTCAGCAAGTTGCCCCTGAAGCAACGCTCGGATGTCTTCCCAGCTCTTCCACGACCATCCCTCGCATTTCTCAGGTTCCAACGTCTGAACACGGACCGTTAGCAAACATCAGCATCACAGTGTGGGACGTCATACCTCAGGCTCCTGATCCTCTCGCAACCGCTGGCAAGCCACAAACAAAGTGATGTAATGCTTGGAGCTCTCTTGGAAGATATCGTTCGTCACCGCAATAATCTTCTCAGCCCGAACGACAAGCCCTGTCTCCTCCAGAGTCTCCCGTTCCGCGCACTGAAGGGGTGTCTCCCCGAATTCAAGATGGCCTCCGGGGAATTGCCAGTGACCTATGACGTTAGCTGATGAGCTCAACTCCATGACTCGGACTCTTTCTAAGGACAATCGGATGTGCTGTCTGTGCAATGAGATATGACTCTTACCAACACCATGGGAGTTCCCCTTCCGGATGCCAACGACCATCTTCCCCTCTGCGTTCTTCACCACCGCCGCAACGCCTACTCTCACAACCGGATTTGAAGTAGCCATTGTGCTTGTCGTTTGAACGTATATATTAATAGGTAGAGTCTATACTGCCAATTTTATCCCAACCCTGCCTTGGTTGAAAGTATCATGACTCACCGCCGAGTGGCACCCCGAACCCCCGAGCAAACGCTTCCAGCCGGCCTATCACAGAGGCAACAGCACGTAACCACTCAGATCGGCTCGGCTCGGCCAAACACTGCATCCCCAGTGGGGCCATCACGCCAAGTGCATCACACAAAAAGACCCCTCCCCTCCCTTCCTCTTCTCCTTCCTCTCGATCCACATGCCACGAGGAACGGGATGGGATGGGATGGGACAAAATGCCCAGCATCGGATTCGGATGCCACAGCGTCACCGCCGCATCGCATCGCATCCATCGGCATCACACTTTAAATTCCCATTCATTCAGCAGCCGTTCACCGCCCAACCATCACCCCACAGCGCTGGAGACGTCTCCACCACACACACCCACACACACCCCCAACAGCAAACCAAAAGATCAGATGAAAATCACAGCACAGGCCCATCCCGGCACCACACACGCAGCACTCAAGGTTCAAAACCCAGAAGAAAAAGTTTTTTTCCTTTTTAACGTTCCACACAAACCAGGGCAGGGCAGGGCAGCTCTTGATAGCAGGCAATACCGACAATCACATGTATCGATCAAACAAGAATGGTGAAAAGCCCGGCTGGCGCAATCGGTAGCGCGTAAGACTTCTACATCACAGCTTTTCATGAGAAGCGTTGAAGTCCCATCTTAAGGTTGCGGGTTCGAATCCCGCGTCGGGTTTCTTCTTTTTATCCTTTTCTGCTGAGATTTCCAGGCAGCATTCTGTTTTTTTGCTGTTGCTGCCTTCACCACCTGTGTGGTGTGGACTGCGTCACACAATGAGTCAACCCCTGACCATCCCACCACGTCACAACCGGTGATGATGTGAAAAAGCATGCTGTTATTCAGACTACCGCCTAACATATGAAATGGGGTATCAATCCCTTCCTGATCCCAACCCGCCCTGATCCGCGATACCTATCCAAGAAATGCACTGCCCAATGCCCTCGCCGTCTACTGGCCCTGGCCCAGCCCGCCCCCCCAAAGCGATTCTATGTGTGATGCTGCCGTATAAAAGCCCGGCCGTTATGTGACATTAGTGTTCATTGGGTCGTGTCTCGCATGTGCGCCTGTCGTCAGTCGTCATGTACAGATCCTCCTCTTGCTCTCGACAATGTGCATGAGTTGCCCTTGGGCCATTAGCCATGACATCATCTCAGCCCGCCAACGCCCTTCTCCACCACGAATTTCACCGGTTTCCTGACCCGGCGGTTGGTCGCGCCCCTTGGCGGGATGACCGGTCGCATAACGGGCCCGGGCCCAAGGACTTTGAAGTTGCCAGCCCCCTTTTGGTTCACTGCGATGCCACCGCCAACCCCGCCAGGCCCCATCTTGCCGCCCTGGGCTTTGGCAACTCTGGCGCCGGGAATCTTCCAGCCTTCAATCTTTCCACCCTTCCCACGCTCGTCGAAACCCCATCTCTCGACGCCCCCACCAATGAGCCAGCCACCCAGGTTCTTACACTGGCTGACGTCGACCCATTCGAGGCGTCCGCAGCCCTCTAACACGTTCTCGACGCCGTTTCCGGTCACGCGGACGCAGCCACGCACGCTGAGACCGCGGAGCTCGTTCAGATGAAGAGCGATGCACCCAAGGCTGGCGTCGCTGACCGCGCTGCCGCAAAATGCAAGCCTGAGTTCGCGGAGGAGGGGCAAGCCCAGCGCCACCACCTCGGTGGCTGTATCGGACAGTGCGCAGCAAAAGCTGAGATCAAGATGCGTCAAGTTCTTCGCGGCGTTGACCAGGGCGATGATACTGTTGTCCGAAAGGTAGGTGCAGTCCGCCAGGCAGAGATGGGTCAGCTCGTTGAAGCGGTATGGTGCCCAAGCCTGAAATCCGGCGTCTGTGATCGATGTACACCGAGTGAGAGTCAACGACTGCAGGCGATTGGATGCGTGAGCCGCCAGGTGCGCCATGGAGCGGTCCGTAATGTGTTTGCAGTACGATAGGTTGAGCCGCCGGAGACGGGGACATCCGATGACAGTGCCCGGTGGTGGTGGAGCGGGCGCCGCCGATTGGATGGCGTTGTGCTTCTCCATCTTTTGCTGGTTCTGCGACGCCCTCCTGCCCTTAGCTGTGGAACTGGAAATGACCACATTCTTCGCGTTCTCGCGGGTCGGAGGTGGTTCCGGGACGACCCAGCCAACAACTCTGGCAAGCAGATTGTCGCCAACCTTGCGACAGTTGCTCCAGTCCACCTCTTCCAGACACTTGGCGTTCTCGCTCATCTCCAAGATCTGCCCTGCAGACACGTCCCATACACTCTTCATCTTCCAGATTTTGACGTTCTTGCCACACATGCGCCACAAAGCCTGAAAGCCTTCGTCTGTGATGTGAAAACAGTTACTCAAGTCCATCTCCACCGGGCGCAAACCGATGAACGGCGTCAGGATGTTGACGAGGGACCAATCGTTCACTTTTCGGTTAAGCGGCCCGAGGTCGACATGTGTGCAGAGCTGGGGGCTGTCCGTGAGCAGCTGTCGCCAGCGTTTGCTCACTGCTCTCAGGCGCAGGAGCTCCAGAAGATCAACCTGTTGGAAGATGGCAATCAATAGGTCATCTGAAAGGGGCGCTCCGCCGATTTCGGTTCCCGACGACGCAACGGAGCTTCGAGGAATGGTTCGTGCGCGTTTGGCCGGCAACGGAGAATCATCGCGAGGGGCCGGGGACGCAGACGGAGAAAAGAGCCTAAGGGAGCTGTGGTCGCTTGAGCTCTGCTTGGTAGGGCTCACTATCGTGGAGGAGTCCGTCTGCGGGGTGGGCGGCGCGAGAGAGTTGCGTCGCCGGTTACGAAGGTTCTCCATGTCCACGCTCAGGTACGGATCGGGATCTGATGGCTGGCGCGTCTCAGAGTCAGGCTTCGTCGGCGAAGCTGGCTTCGAAGGTGTGGTAAACGTGACCTGTGGAAGAGTTGTTGGATTCGGTGGCGTTGGCGACCGCTCGTCGTCGGAGAGCGCGCGGCTCTCTACATCCTCCATCTCGATGTCATCGTCAGACCCGTGATACCTCTGCTTGGCCGTCTCCTCCACCTGAGACTTGATCTCGGGTGGACAACGCTTCCAAAGCTCGTCGAGCGCTTCGCCGCCAACCATCAAACATTCCACAGCCGTAATGGACCGCACGGTCGCCGTTCTTCCCTCTGATAAACCCAAGCTCGAGACTTCTCCGAAATATTGCCCTTGCTTCAACCTCGGCCGCATATACGACGCTCTTGTGGCTCGCCTGGGGTTCGGAGGGCTTGGCGTCTCGTGAATGACTTCGGCTTCGCCCCGGACGATGAAGAATATTTCGTTGCCAGGGCTACCTTGGCGGATGATATCGGTGAAGGGGGAGTAGGTTTTGGGCTGAGCGCTGAGGCCGATAAAATGCAGGATGTCGGGTGGAAGTGTCGAGAACAGGGGGAGCTCCTTCAGCGTCTTCCGGATGTTGACGTAGCCGCTACCAAGCGCGCTTCCACTGATGGCCGGATCTTCGATCACACCGGGACTTGGCGATTTCCGCTTCTTAGTGTTCACGGCGCCGCCTTCCTTGATCACTCCGACCTCGCCGGTGCTGACTTCGCCGGGCGCCGCTTCTCGCGCAAGCTTTGGGCTGTCGTTGTCTGGGAGCTTGCTTGTTTGCCCACTCTCCTGGCGCTTCTTCTTGAGGATGGTCAACCGCTCTTGGGCCTCTTGCCGAATCGCCTTCTCCATGTCGGGATACTTGGGGAGCTCTGCCTGCAGGTCCTCCTTCTTGAGAACGACGAGGAGGCATTTCGTCCTGGCCACGATGGTCGCGGTTCTTGGCACGTCCATGAGGACGCCGATCTCCCCGAAGAAGGCGCCCGGCTTGAGCTCCGCATACACGGCCTCGCCATCTCGAGAGGTGACGGCGACAACGCCGCGGACCAGCCAATACATTGCTCTTGCTTCGTCGCCCTCGGTGAGGATGTGGTCGTGTGCGGAGTGGATTTGGGGTCGTAAATGGGCACCGATGGCGACCAGGAAATCTTCCGGGGCAGACATGAAGAGGGGAAAAGACCGGATGCGATCGACCAGGTCCAGCGGCATATCTGGAATGGTCGAGGCCGTCAGCGGGGAGGGGCGCATGGGCCGGGTCGGGTTCGCTTCGACATTGAACGACCTGATCAGAGACGACACAGAACCCTGGGCCTGCTGCTGTCCCGCCTGAGCTCCCGCACCATGGTGCGCATGGTGGTGGGCCAGGGCCCGGTAGGCCGGAGGAGGCGGAGTGCGATTCCGCCGCATCGTGTGTGCTGGGCAGGGGCGGGAGAAGCCCCCCCGGACACCAGATGGCTATGTGCCTGACGAGCTATTTGGAAACCTCCGAAAATCCCCAATCCAGTTCGACAGATTTATTGCTTCTGGGGAATGACGTCTCTCGTCCCGCGGTGCCGTATATTGCGGAGGGGCCGGTTAGATCGAAATTAGGCGGGGATGCTTCATGCTATAGCCAGTCGAACCACGGCTTCCCCACACGATTCAGAACCACGGCAGGCGTGGAGAACCGTTTCTATGCTTCCTTCGTCTTTCTCCCGCTCGGTAACCTTGGCTTCTGTGGGGGAGAATAACAGATCGTCGGATCGAGGGGGGAATTGGAGAAGAAGGACGTCTTCGTTCTCCGCCGCCGACGGGAAGAAGCTGTCGATCGGAGCCCGGTGGCTCAATTGTAGACGACGTCAATCGCGTCGGCGCGATCGGGGCTTTGCGCCCGGCTTGATGTCTGATGTTTCTCGGCGGGCAGTCAAACAGAATGCTGGCGCATTGCGGACGTGAAGGGTCGATTGGCCTGATTTGATCGCGGTCGCTGGCTCGTTCGAGGTAGATGGAGTCTCTGGGAGGCAAAAACCTTGGTCAGCTTCAATGCCTCTCGTGTGCCAACGGCTGCCCACCCGGTGTCGCTTACATGGTGTGGGAGGGCTTGAAACGCGCAACTCGGCGTCACGAGAACGTCGCTGGGAAGACGGATTTGGAGATCCCAAGGTGTGGGGTAATAATGGTACAATAGGAGCTCGGTAGAGACACGTTCGTGGAGATCAGCCAGCGAGTCGGATCGCAGATTTGGCTGAAGAGGAGATGTGTGCCTGGACCTGGAGGCACAAGAAGAGCGACGGGAGCGGGAAACCGGCCGGCGTGTGGACCTGGGAAGCTGAGGCCGCAGGATGGACGCGGTCTCGAATGTCTGGAGAACGTGGGTCCCGTCTCAACGCCCGCCTTCAACAAAATTCCAGATCCGAGCCTGAGAGCGACCGAACAGCCACCGATACCGCAAGTTCCAAGTTCGACAAGCGGAGGAGGGAGCAGCAGCAGTGGCAGGCCGTGAGCACGGTGGGAATTTCAGGAAGGGAATGCAGCAAGACGGCGGAGGGGGTGCCCGGAATGGCGCGACGGCTGCCGGCTTCCCACGCGGCAGGTGGAATTGGGCGTCTGGTAGGTGTGGTGGAGATACACGACGGAGCAAGCCACAGAGCAACCTGCAGCTCCGCGCTTTTCCCTTCGTCGGTTCCTGGGCCTTTCCTGTCAGCTCTTTTGCGTGCAAGGCGATGTTTGATGTGTGTGTGAAGATGCGCTCGTGCTCAGCCCAGAGGGGATTGGACAGACGCAGCCAGATGGATTGAGCAGGACCTCGGCTGCGCCCAGGGCATACCGCATTGGCTTGCGGTAAGTGTGCTTCAGTTGACT